AGAATTTTTCTGATATATAAGTCTAGCATTACTTAGCCACCTAAATGGTACCTAAGTATGATCTGTTGCACTATTCCAGTTAGAGATAAACTGCTTGTCTGACTGCTGCCCTACAATAGGACATTGCCAATCTGATGACATCTTTTTATAGAGAAACAAAAAACAAAAAAAAAATTTTTTTATATAAAAAACAAAACAGAGGTATAAGGATAAATAATAAAAAATACAAATTAAGAAATAAAAAGAGAAAGAAAATAAACAAGAAAAAAGGAAATATGTGAAATTTGCAATTCACAAATATTAGACAGTTACAATTGTATGCCTATGTCAGGCCTTTAAAAATTATAAACTATACTAAATAGAAATAACTTTACTATTTTTCTATTTACTTAGATTATTTAACAAAAAACCATATAGAAAAGAAAAAATCTTTAACTTAATCATAGAGGGTTGGTATAGAGTACTAGTTAGTTCAAAGACAGTATTTTCAGGTTTTTTAGTATTTTGAGGCATGTGTATTGTCATGTTTGTATTACTGTATTGTTTTTAATCTATGTTATCAACAAACCCATTTAGGAAGTAAACATTGCTAACTGTTTTGATAGTTTTATATATCAATCTTTAAAAGGAGATAAGCTAAATTACCCACTTTTACAAAATTTCCTTGAAGCAAAGTAAAGATAAGAGATAAGTCAACTTTGTAGCTTTTGTGAGTTCTTGATCTTTATAGATATTTCTTGTAGATTTTACAATTGTATAGAACTAATATATCCAACTTTGTTATTTATTTGATAAAAAACTTTAACTTTTACTAACTACTTTTTTTATGCATTTAAACCATCATCACAAAGCTTCAACTTTTTTTTTTAACTCTATTTTAATGTTCAACTATATGTGTACAGTACTTTAAAAAAGTTTTTATAAAGTTTAATATATTAACTATATTATTTTTCTGTAGTTTGGCTTTTTGAAAAGTTTGGTTTGAATGATCATTAAAAAGAGTTGTGTTGTATATAATAATAATAATATTTTTAAAAAAACATTATTGTTATATAATAATATATATTTTTATTTTTTAAAAAAAAACTTTAAAAATAATATGTAATAGAAATTTTATTTATTAAAAAAAAATATAGTTATATAATAAATATTAAACTATAACAAACTAATAATATTTATATTATTGTATAAAAATGTTTATATACAAAAAAGCCAATCTGTATAAAAAACTTATTTATTTTAATTAAATAACAAATTAGAATTTATTTACTTCAAATAAAATCTGTAAACAAAAAAACATCAAAAGATTAACTAAAAATTTAAAACAATTAAAAAAAATAAAAAAAATAAAAATTTCTAAGAAATAAAATATTAAAATTTTAAGAAATAACAAAAGTTTTAAAAATAACAAAATATTAACAACTAACAAAAATTCTAAAAAATGACAAATCACTACTAACAAATGATAAAAGTTTCAAAAAATAATGAAAACTTCAATAACTAACAAAAGTTTTAAAAAATAATAAAACTTTCAAAGAATAACAAAATATTAACAAAAATAAAAGCTTCAAAAAATGATAAAAACTTTAATAACTAATAAAAGTCTTAAGAAATAATAAAGTATTCATAACTGATAAAAGTTTCAAGAAATTACAAAAGTTTTAAAAAATAATAAAGTATTAACAAATAACAAAAGTTCTAAGAAATAACAAAAACTTTAAAAAATAACAAAGTACTAATAATTACAAGAATTGTTTCTAACAATTAGATTAAGATACTTGTAATGATAATTATGTTAATATAACTGGCAGATTATAAAATATTTGTATAACTAATTATAAAGAAAAATACAAATTAGTATCAGATAATACAAACTTTAAATAAGGTCATATAATTGTATAAATTTGTTAAAATTAAAAAATAAAAAGTCTATTTAGAAAAACCTAAATAAAAAGATAGCATAAATCTTAAATAATATTGTTATAAAGACTAAACTACTAGAAATAGATACTAATATTAAAGTACTTGGACAGGCAAAAACCTTTAAATAGGAGGTATTACCAATTAAATTACTAATATAAACTAAAAAAAAAAATATTAGATTAATTTAATATACTAATAAACTAGTTGTAGTTCTATATAAACTATTTAAATTAAAAGTTTAGAAAATAGTTAAAGGTATACTAAAGTACTAAAAATATGCTATGAAATAAATACTGAGATTCAAGTAAACTTTACAAAAATATAGCAGTTTAATAATTAGCTTTAATTGCAAGTATTAGTTCTGTTATAGTAATACTAAGTTAGCTATAAAAATAAGTATAAAAAACTCTAAGAGGTTTATCTTAAATATAAAATAGTTTTAAGATTGAGATAATAATCTAAGTATGATTTAGTAATATTAATATAAATTATAGATTCAGAGAGTTTAAAATAAAACATTCAAGCAAAGATGTTAGATATAACAATTAATAAGAAACCTTTAAGCAGATTCTTTAAATAAGTAATATAAAAAGTTATATAAATAGCCAATTGTATATTCTTTTTATAATAGTTTATAAAATTATATTATTAAAAAAGTTATTAATTAAAGTTAAAAGACTAAAGAGATTACTTTAAAAAAAAACAAAATACTAACAAATGATAAAAACTTTAACAAATAATAAAAATTTTAAGAAATAACAAAGTACTAACAATTAATAAAAACTTTAAAAAACAACAAAAGTTTTAAAAAATAATAAAATATTAACAAATAATAAAAGTTTTAAAAAATAATGAAATAATAATAATTAATAAAAGTTTTAAAAAACAATAAAATACTAATAATTAATAAAAGCTTCAAAAAATAATAAGGTATTAATAACTAATAAAAGCTCTAACAACTAACAAAAATTTTAAGAAATAATAAAATATCAATAATCAATGAAAACTTCAAAAAATAATAAAAGTTTTAACAAATAATAAAATATTAACAAATAATAAAAATTTTAAAAAATGATAAAAGTTTTAAGAAATAATAAAATATTAACAAATAACAAAAACTCTAAGAAATAACAAAATACTAACAAATAATAAAAGTTTTAAAAAATAACAAAATACTAATAAATAATAAAAACTCTAAAAAATAATAAAAATTTTTATAACTAATAAAAACTTTAAGAAATAATAAAGTATTAATAAATAATAACTTTAAAAATAATAAAAGCTTCAAGAAATAATAAAAATTCTAAAAAATAACAAAACATCAACAAACATTAAAAACTTTAAGAAATAATAAAATACAACAATTAATGAATAATAAAATATCAACAAACTATAAAAACTTCAAGAAATAATAAAACATCGATAAATAACAAAAATTTCAAAAAATAATAAAACATCAACAAACAATAAAACACAAATAATGAAACATCAACAAATATCAAAAATATTAATATGATAATATATACTAACAAATGATAAAAAAACAATACTATAAAAAAATATTTAGTAAACAAATAAATAATTTTATATGATTACTAATGTATTTTTGTTTATTTTATTTAAAAATTGTAGTTTAGTTAATTATATAAAGTTTTAATAATATCATTAAAAAATATGTAATTTCTTATTAAAAAACTTCTATACTAAAGTTTTTATACTTGTTAATGTCAATCCTAACTCTAATGCCGGCCATGCAGTGTCGATTAGTTTAATGCTGGCCATTTTGCTGTGCACTAAATCATGTATATGCAGTGTTCCCAATTGAAAAACATGGCCATCTGTGCAACATGTAAATTGTTATTATAAGTTGAATAAAGAGTTTTATTCTTTTAAAATGTAACTTTATTTTACTTCAAAGTTAAATTATAGAAGAAAATCAATAGTTTAATGATGGTGATGTCATGTGCTAACAGCAAACCGAACATTTGTTTTGATCGTGTCACGTTCCACCTGATCTTGAAATCTGATTCGTTCAGGAAATCTGCGCCACAGAACTCGAGCAGCGTATACATTTTTTTTCCTATGTATATGAGAGTTAGGGTAAGAATTAGGTTATAGTTTAGACCAATTGGTGTCGATCAGTTAATGCCGGTCAATCAACGCCTGAGGTGCCTCGGTTATATATAAAAGTAAATTCCTATCAACCCATTGATGTACCAAAAAATAAAAATTTATCATCTTTGATAATAATATAGAAAATGACATAAATTGTAAAACGTTGCAATGATTGTCAAGTTAAAAAAAAAAAAAAAAACAATAACAACCAATTAACGGACTTAAAGGACTTAAAGATAAACTTTGTCAAACATACATATTATAAAAAAAGCTCCAAGTAGTAATAACAAAATTAAAAAAAGACGAATTGGTTAATTAAGATTTAGCCATACTGGTGTAACTATCGGTTTTCTCATGCCTCCATTCATCTGATGAATTACCGCTTAATACTCCACATGTTCCGACAATTATTATATTCTCCTCGTTACAAATAGAGATACAGTTACAAATAGTTCATCCTAATAATAAATAGATCGTCCTAATGATTGCCGGCTTTAGCAAGTTACAGTAACGGTAACATAATTGGGAGATTCGCCTGTATCTTATGGTCCTAGTTACAAACTTATACTGGCAGTTACAAAATTTTAGGATGTGTGCATTACTCCACATAATGCAAAAAAAAACGTAAGGGGGTTAAATGTACACGTACATAAACGGGTTATTTTCATATTTCCTTATTACTTTGCCCTAAGACATATGAATTTAATATATCTGTTTTCTCTAACATAAAACTTTTAAATAGACCCAGTTAACCGGCTTCTTTTCTTAAATTTCATATATAAAATTTTTTTAAAAAAAAATTTTTTTAAAACCGATCCGGTTATAAAAACATACAATAAAATTTTCCAAAACTTGACCCGGACAGGTTATTAATTTTGCATTGCCTAATATATAGTCTGTTTTTTAATGCTAAATCGATAATCCGGAGTCTTCTTTAAACCTATTATATTCCCTTAGAATACATGGATTCTTTGAGCACTTCATATTCGTTCTTAAACTTCCAAGGACAATATCCAGTAAATAATCATATAAAATCTTAGTTATCTCTCAAAGATTGATATTGGGCACTTATAATCTCCCCCTCTTTCAGGTTTCCTTGGAGAATCAACAAGACCCATATGAGGGTGAAGCAGCAGGGTGCGTAGAAAGAGCCTATCAAGGAGTAAACCAACTCCAACAGGACCCATACCAGGAAATTTATAATCCTTCAGAGATCTATCAAGGACATCAAGTAAGTAAATAAACATGACCTGTTTGTTGATATACTATGTCGGTCTAATGGTTATTTTCGGATTGGATACTGGTTTCAAAAATATCCGCGATTTTATTTATGGGGATTAGAGGTCTGCACGGGCCGGGTCGAAATTTGAAATTTTTAAAAACCTCTCGAAATTGCGGGCCGGCAAAAGTACAAATTTTTTGGTCCGTGCAAGGCTCTAATGAGAATTTCAAATTTTATAAATAAAATCGATGTCTTTGATCTGAGTATTATTTGTAAATTATGACATTTACTGGGCAAATTCAAAAAATTTCTAACTGTATCAGAAAACTGATTATATGAACTCTTCACATTTATTAGTTGCTCCCAGAGGTCAAACAAGCGATTTCACCTCAATTATTGGAAGAGCAAACCCGGTTAATTTCTCAACTTCTTCAGGTGAATAGTCATATAACCCTTCATCTTTTCGGCTTGGGAAGATATACCGATATAGTGAAAGCTACAAATATCACATTCACGTACACAACATTGATGTGCTTATGTATACAACAGAGCTGATTATTTTCTGCGGTAATATTTATTTTTAAAATATAAATAAATATCACCGCATAAAATTATCGGCTGCACAATGATTAACGTCACAAATAAACGTTAACTATGATTCTGTAATGTTGTGTAAGTTTCGGTAAATTAGAATTTCATACGTACAATTGTAACTTTGAACACAATAATTTAATTTTTCGCTATCCAAGTGCCGTGATGGTGGAGCCACAGTATGGACAGTCAAACGACTAATACTGATAAAACTTCTATACTTTACCGGTACTGCTCACTTCGTAGACAATCGCTTCACAGATATCTTAGTTCACAGATAACCAATTCACAAACAAACTTACTTTACAGGCAGTTTATTTCATCAACAGTTCATTTTTATAAACAGGTTCATCTTATCGACAGCTAATTTCATCGACAAGGATAAACTACTAAGATTAGTGTTAGAATTAAGTTTAAGTTAGTGCTTATATAAGAAATTAAATTGACAGTGAAAAGAGCTGTTGATGAAATAAATTGTCAGTAAAATAAGCTTGTCTATTAATTATGAATTTGTTGTCTGTAAAATAAGCTTGTCTATGAATTTGTTGCCTGTAAAATAAGCTTGTCTATGAATTTGTTGCCTGTAAAATAAGCTTGTCTATGAATTATGAATTCGTTGTAAAATAAACTGATCGTCGGTGAAGAGGTAGAATCGTACTTTATATATACATGAGAAACTAATTACCGTTACGCAAAAATTTTCTCTTGATCTTATGTGCACAACAACAAAACTCATTACCTTATATTGATCTCTATCTGCCATGCTTTAGCATTTCATAACTCACCATCGATCTAACTTGATATCATACTCCTTATCGATACAGTATGGCATTTAGGATTGGTATTAGAATTAGAATACGGCAGATTAGGTCATGAGTGTAATGTGTTGGTGTATTGCCCCTTCGCCCAAAGAATCATCAAGAATGATATCAGAAAACTAATCATATGGCCTCTTCATTTTTTTTTAGGTTTCCTCAAAAAATCAAGAACAAAGTCAGGAAATTGCCAACCTCATTTTTCAGCTTAGCAATGTCGAGGCTCAGCTTAGGGATGTCAAGGCTCAGCTTAGGGATGTCAATGCTCAGCTTAGGGATTCCAATGCCCTTATTGCTTTCTTCCAAAAATTATTTGGCAGCAAGTTCTCTCTTTACTATAACAGGTTTCTAAAATACTCCCAAAATTCTTTGCCGTTTCCGGGAAGGAAAAGAAAAGAAATTGCATGTGGTGTTTGCAAAAGCCGGAAAAAAAGATGCGATGGAGGTGACATCGGTAAGAAACCGTGCGATCATTGTAGTAAGAATGGAGAAGAATGTTCTTATTTAAATCGCCTTCGATAAGTAAGTATATATATTTCTTTTATCCAAAAAATTTATAGTAGCAAATTTTCTTATATGATAGGTTTTTACAGTTTTAATAACCCTTCGCAAGTGTGTACAAACTTGTAAAGGGTTATTAAACTCGTAAGAATTTATGTCAATGTGGAAATTTATTGACGATAATAAATTTGCTACTGTTGCTTCTAAAGAAAAGAAAACTGTTTTGCTAAACATGTTAAGTGCCTAGTTATTGTTTACTACTCAAGCTTGTTGAATGCTAATTCAGCAAGCATCGACAACAATTAGTAGATATTTAGCATGTTCAACAAATTAATGAAACTGAAGATAACATGAATGTATATTTATTTTCTATACTTTGATGAAATTTAGATCATAAATCAACACCAAAAAATTAAGGCTTTTTTTTCTGACTTTTGTGAAGATATCTTCTAATTTGCAAAAATTTGGCACATTTGAATTTTTATCTTTATAGCCTTATTACTTGTATGAAATTTTCAATACGTATCAAAACCACGTATTTTTATGAATCATATTTTTTATATATTTTCAGACTTTCAATACGGATTCCTTTTTAAATACTTGATTTTTAACAAGCATGAATGTTTTGGGAGACATTACTTTTAATAAAGGGTTTTGAACATTTCTTATTTTGGAAATTTACTTAATGAAGTTTATTGTAAATGTAAAAATTATCTATTTGGGTACATATATATCAGTGATACAAAGCCAATTAGAATATTTATATCTATACTAACACCTAAAAGGAAGTATCAAAGAGAGCAAATTTTGATCACTTATGTGCGAAAAGGAAAATTGACAGTTACATATTTATTACTCAGATCACGAAGGCAATTTCTTTACAGTAAAACCTCCGTAAGTGCACGCTCTTGAGACAGAACTTTAACGACGTGCACTTAGAGGACAAAAGAAAACGTGCATTTATGGAGGCCATATATATTTTGGTCCGAAATTAAGCGTGCATTTAGAGAGGGTGTGCACTCTTATAGATGCAGACATATGTCAATGCCATAACCGATTTTAACATCAATTGAGTAACTCAAAGACCAACGTTTGCCATAACACCCGACGTGTGTCGTAACATTTGATTCATGCCGTCATATTTGACTTATGCCATAACATTTGGTAAAAATTTGCAGAGCGATTTTTTGACTGTGTTCCAGAATTATAAAACGGCTGTAAAGAACTTGCTGGACGTAACTATTGTTTATTGCCGGAACTTTTTATATTGCTGTAACTAGGTTATGTACATCTCGCGTGAAATGCTGATGTCATAGTAAATTATTTATATTATCTCGTGCGAGAATCAATAGAATGACATCAGGACGTGACAACACGTCACTAGACGTAACCATATGTCTGCATCTATCGTTCTATGTCAACTGTTGCGTCCTACGTCGTTATAGCACTTTTGACGTGATGAATGTCAATTGGATGTCATAAAATGTTTGCATCTATGGAGGTTTCATTGTATAAATTTGTGAAAAATGTCTTCCGACCTTATTTGGTAAAGAGAAGCCGTCATTGACTAATAAATTCAATTTAATTTTACATTATTTATACAGTTTAGAGTACTTTTAAAAAAAACGAAAGCTAATCATAATGAAATAAAAAAAAAAGCTGTATAGAAGGTTTCATTAGAGCTGTAGGATTCCATGTTCAAAAATACTCATCCGTTTAAAAAAGTTAGTATAGTAATAACTTCTCAAAAACTGATAAAATCAATTTATTGCTAAGCCAATTTTTTTAAACGAATGAGAATTTAGATCTTATACAGTCAGTAGATTTACAAACATAGTGATAGTGCAGTTCATATAGTAAAATCTCAAACTTTTTTTTATAAATCGACAAATGTTATAGTAAAAACATATAAAATCCAAACTGCAATAACTCTTTTAACCAGAAACCCCGCATAAATAAAATTATATTTGTTTTAATATGCATTTTTTGCTACAGAATCCTACAGCTCTAATGAAACCTTTTATACAGTTTTTTTTATTTCATTATAATTAGGTTTTGTTTTTTTTTAAAAGTACTCTAAACTGTATAAATAAATTGAATTTTTAGCCAATCAGACAAACTTCTGCCTATAAGAGAAGTCATAATTATTAGTTAGAAGAATCTTGTTAATTCTTTAATATTAGAGATCCTTTTATAAAGGTTAAATAATGGTTAAAAATAAAGTTAAGAAATATTAATTCAATTTTTTGAAATATTCTAGTAAATTATCTTTGAAATTTTAACAAAAAAAGTTTTTGTGTAATTTTGCTATAATATTACCTTAACAAAAACTTTAATCGAAATTTTTTAGCTTAGCAGTACTTGTTTTCTAAATATCACATAAAAATAAACCTGTTAAAATTCTTATTAAGTACATATAAGCTATAATTTTATTATTGTTGTAATAATAATAACAATCATATAATATACTATTTAATCAAAATAGTAAATTAAAACAATAATTAATAATTAAGTAATATTATATTGTTGCAGTTTCTTTTTTTGAATTTTAATTCCTATCATTAAATTAAAACAAAAATTGAACATAATATAATTATAAGTTGACTATCTATATTTAGCTTAACATCCTTTTAATTTATAGTATAATATTTTAATTAGTACCAAGATGCAAAAAATTTTTAATTAAACATATATAAAAAATAATCTTTGTAAATAAAATATGAGACCTTTCTATTCATCTAATATAAAATATATCTAGTATATTTGAAATAAAATTATATATTAAAAAAATTATAGAAACAACTGACAAAAAAAAATTAGTCATTTAAAAAAATCTATTTATTTATTAATAATGAAAAATAATTAAAACATAATAAGAATTACAATAATTTTTTTATTTATTTATATTAAAAGTTTAATTTGTTTTATTAGACTTTCTTTAATCTTTGTAAAAAATATATTTAAGAAATTTGTTAAAAATCTGAAAAAATTAAAATAAAAAAATTTTAGAATTATAATAAAAGTATTATATAATTATTGAGTTATTATTTAGTATTTATAAAAAATACAATAAATGAATTTATTTGTTAAATTTTTGATTTATTTAAAAATGCAATATCTCAAAATAATATTAGAAAATGAGAAGCAAAATATAAATTTAAATATTTTAGTTTATATATATATTTTATTATATTAAACTTAATTTAACTAAATAACAGGAGGTGTGGTGACTTAGTGAAGTAGTCAAGTTGTTAACTCCCCAAGTAGTAGATTGGGTATTCAAATCTTATTGATAGCGAAAATTTGGATAATTACCTATGTAATATTCGTATTATAGCAACTGTTACTAATAATTGGATTAGAATACCTGTAATAGTGATTATACTAGCATAACTGGCAGGTTATGAGGCATCTGTGCAATGTTGGAGTTATACAGAGGAATGCAAACCAACAAATCAGACAGTACAAATACTAAATAAGTCCTTGTAGCTGTATAAATCCATTGAAATTAGGTAACAAGAAGTCTATTTGAAAAGACCTGAGTAGAGAAGTAGCTGAATCTTTGACAGCCTTATTGTAAAGGCTAGTCTAGTAAAACAGATACCAAGATCTAGTACCTAGTTTTAGTAGCCAGATAGACAAGAACCTCTGAGTTAGGAGTCTCAGAGATATCATTAACCAGGCTATTGAAATGAATCAGAAAAAAAAGATATTAGGCTAACTCAATATACCAATGGACTAGTCATAGTTCTATACAGACTATCTGAATTGGGAGTTTGGTAAAAAGGCAGAGAACAAGATAAAGGTATACTAAACTACCAGAGTTATGCTATGAAGTAGATGCTAGGGTCTAAGTGAACTCTACAAGAGCATAGTAGTTTAATGATTAGCTCTGATTATAAGTGTTGGTTCTGTTATAGCAATACCTAGATCAGTTATAAAAATAGATATAGAAGGCTCTGGGGGTTTACTTTGAGGATAAATTAGTTCTAAGATTGAGATGATAATCTGGGCATCTGGGTATGACTTAATAAGTTAACATAGATTACAGATTCAGAGAGTTTAAAGTAAAATATCCAAGCAAAGGTGTTAGATATAGCAATTGGTAGGGAACCTTCAGGTGGACTTCTTAAATAGGTAATATAAAAAAGTTACACATGTAGCTAATTGTACTCTCTCCTATAGTAGTTCATTGAATCACAATACCAATAAGTGATTAATAAAAGTCAAAAGACCAAAGAGGTCATCTTAATACCAAAAAAAAAACAAACCAAATAACAGATAAATATAAAGAACTTAATCACTGTTTTGTATCTTAATGTTAATAAAAGCTGTTAAACTCAGTATTTAATTTATATAATAATAATGTATATAATTTAAATATTATTTATTTAAATCTAAAAATATTTATTTAATATTAATTTGTAAATTTTAAAGAAACTTATAACCAACTATTATTTTCAAAATTTTTTTTTTCTTATAAGCAGTTATGCTAGTACTTTATTAAGTTTTTGAAATTATATTTGTAACTATATAAATGTCTCTAATATTTAAGTCTAGCATCACCCAGCCACCTTAATAATACCTAAGTGCAACTTGCTGCATTACTTCAAACAGAAGTAAGCTATTTGTCTGACTACTTAAAATTCATAATGAAAGAGTCTTTTTTCTTCTATGACAAGTTTCAAAATTGTCTTCATTACTTTCTTTTTAACTTGTTTTTTTTTTTTTTTTTTCCTTTCTATTTTTTTCCTAATCTGCCTTTTGTCATTTTTTTGGTTTTTTTAGCTTTTCAGCTTTTTTCTTTTTATTTTTACCTATTATTTCAATTTTTTTCTTCCATTTAATAATTTTTTCACAACATATTCTCTATACTTGTTCATAAAATATGTTCCAAGCTGTTATTGCTACTATATTTGCAAACTGCTATCTTGATCTTGTGTTTATTAGCTCTGCTAGTTTGTCTTATATTTCTTTTGAAATTAGGCCTTTTATTAGTGCTTCTCTTATTTTAACTTCTT